GTCGTTTACCACTTCTTCAACATTCAGCTCCGACTGCATCAATTTCAACTGCAGAAAAGAAGACATTAAAAAAAGCAGTTATAGTCAAACGAGCCACCCTGCAGCCTACAGTATTCACTAGCATTGCAACTTTCTTGATCACAGCCTGGTGCACATCCCCTCTGAGAGTGCAGACTGAAGGGCATAATCACATGCAAGTGTGGTTCTTCCACTGCTTGAGGCAGGTCAGAAGTCCATAAGGAGTGTGGGGAAGAGAGGCTTGCAGCTCAAGTCTTCTGGCAGGAGCAGTTCACAATCACCAGTGCTTTCTTCTTCACTGAATATTGCCCATTTAGACTTGCTAGCAATGAACTGATGAACCCTAATGGCTTTGCAGACAAAAATATGCATCATTCAAACACTTAGCACAGAAAATGATAGTGGTGGGATTAGCTCAACAGCCTCAAGTTCTCGATCTTCCACATATGCATTATTAAGAGTCAGGTAGGAAGCTGGTAGCAAACCGAGGCCAGTGCAGAGCACTCAGATTCTGGATTTAGGACTAGGCTCATTGAAAGATTCTCTCTCTTTCCTCACTGTTTGGTCTGTGCATTGGCCAGTAAAGGGTCTGCAGCAACAGACTGCATGTGTCACGCTGTTTGAATACAGACCACACTAGCACAAATTAGGTCTAGATCCAAGAGCTTCAGCAAAAGACATCATAAGAAGCAATTCCTGAGCCTTCCTAGGCAAAATGAGACTCTCTCTCTTTGCTTAGCATCTGTTAGGAACTCCAAAGGGGCACATGCAACAATTTCAGATTGGAGCTAATCTGACACCACCACGAGGCCCCAAAGCAGCAGTAGAGGATTTGAGAACCTACTTGCTATTTACACCTATGTTTAGGCTTTACTTATGTTGAGTCTTTGACACAGCAGACTAAGGATCAGAGTAGTTCATTTTGAACAGTTCGTTGCAGGTTAGGGAGCTGGTGAACAGGTGCAAACCATGGAGCAATCCTACCAAAACCCTTCCAAGCAGGACATCCACACACACACAGCTAACACAGTGCTTGGATGAACTTTTACCTACTCAAGAGGACCCTGAAACCTTGAAATAACAACTCAGCATTAACATGGTGGCTGGTTAAGCAAAATTATCTTAACAAAATAACCTCTCAGAAGATCCTTAGCATTTCAAATAAGGATTTTCCTACCTTAAAAGCTGCTTACTTAAAAGATTTTTCCCACATATGGAAAAGATCAGGGCAGAGTGGGGTACTTGGTGGAAAAAAATCCTCCTGGACTTGCTTAAGCAGATAGAGAAAGGTGGGCAAAACTACTAAAATTTCCAGTAGCAGGCCAGACAGCTTCTTCACTTGCAGCATAACCATTTTCTGCTTAAAATAAGGAATTTAGGTGCACATTTGAGTGCCTTTAATACCAGGCCTAAGTAAAACTAAATTTTAGCCTTTTTTCTTAAAGCTGCATGCATAAACAGCAATATAATCAATCAATATCGATATAAAGATGATACAAAATAAATATATAATCAAATGACACTCTTCTGAAGGCAGATTACTGGAACTGACTCCTAGCCCCACATAACTTCAATTATTATTTAATCAATGACCCAGAATATGTTGCTTTGGATAAATTCCTCCAATTTCATTAAATGAAAGAAGTATATAGAACAAAGCAAACCAGATTTTTATTGAAAACAAAGGCATTTGAAAAGCATAATTGTGTGGAAAAACAGAAAAAAGGAAAAAAAAAAGTGTCCAAATGCAGGTTAGAGCGTATTCGACCAAAGGATTTCTGGGGTGCTTCCAAAACAGAGATTGCTTTTAAAATTTTAAGTTACCACTAATTATTAAGCACTGTGGTCCTTCAAAAAGTTTTAATGACAGTTTTTGAACTTTGTAACTCTGATTTAAAGAATCCTCTCCCCCATCCTGTTCCCCCTCCACACACATACAAAACACTAGGCTTGCGTTCTGTTTTTTCAAACTGCCATGGACGCTTGTTAGAAGTTCTGCAAATGACACTTTAAGGACCAAGGTGTGTGGCCTGGTTCTCTGAGTTTGGGCTCACAAGGAAACACGTCCTTGAAGATCACCTGCTGAATAACTCTCTCACTCAATGGCTTGGGGGAATCCCAACAGCTGGCCCTTGAACCCTTAAGTTCAAAGCATCTTCTCAGGAAGTTCTTTGGCTGCAACTTCATCAGCACTCAGCTGCTCCTGGATACAGGAGCAACAAGAGGCTCTGCTTGGAACTAAGAGTGGCAAGTGGGTTTTGAGGAAGCTCAGCACCACAGAAAACAGTTTCAGGATCATGCATCTATCTTTTTGAAGTCATACAACAGTACAGCAGGGAAAGCTGTAGCTACGATATAAGGCTCTGTCGTGATGGTGGGAGCTATTACAAGAAGAGTTGTTACACTGGAAACTCAAAGACATGAGTTTAGAAGCCTTGGTTGAGACAGTCCTTAGCTGAGGAAAGCTCACTAAGCTGCTAAATGCAGCAGGCACATCTAACCAGTGTAAGCAAAACAGCAACAAGCAAATAACCTTGTTCTGCGTGTGCTTCTAGAGTATGGGTGGAAAAAAATGCAAAATGCAACGCGAACACAAGACACACAGATGGAGCATGCTTGAAGGAGAATGCCTAATGAAACCAACAGGAGAGGTCACATCCTTGCTAGCCTACAGAACAGATTCTAGAAAGGACCGAGGAACGTCGAGGGGGTTCCTTTCTCCATTTCTGATACCTCCATCTTGCTACTGTACTGTTCACCTCATGAAATGCACTCTCTATTCATTCGACAGCCTTCATTCCTAGAAGCCAAACACTGAGAGGGGTGCACATGCTGAAGTTCCTTATGCAATCCAAGAAATACTAACACCATCGCAACGCAGTAAAAGAAAAAAAAATCCAAGAAATACGGAGTAACAACAACAACAAAGAAGATTAAGTGAAATTTAAGGTTGCCTGGCAGCTCATCCTAGACAACAAGGACCCTGATCAACACACTAAGTGATAAGGATACTTCTCTAGATGATAAAAAGGCACAGCTTTAAGAATGTGTATCACTTGGTGGTGCAAGAGAAAGCACATACTTCATTATTTTCTTGTGTTTGGTACTTACATCTGCAGCTTTTCAAGACACTAGCTTTCATAGAAATAAAAAGGCAAGAGGAACCACCAGGCATTTTAAAGGAAATAAACAAGACACAATTAAATTATACGCTATGTGGTGTTAATCAGTGAAGATTTGAGTCCCCTGTGGTGAAGCATGCATGCTTTTCTACTGTATTTGTGTAGCATTCACTTCAAGTTCTCTCTCTCATTCCCTTTGGGAAAGACGATCTCACCTGCTTCCCTAAGTGATCTCTGCCAAGCTCCACCACTCACCTTCGTCTGCTCTTTCCTGAGTTGCTTTAATAATGCTAGGTCATCCTGGGCCTTTTCCCTCTCTTCTCTGAGAGTTTTCACTACACTGGAAGTCTGAGCGATGCAGCTTTTGATGATTCTCTCTCTGCTGGTGTGAGCTTCCATCAGCTGATTGAGAGAGACAAAAAGTCACAGCACCTAGTTCAGTGATCCAAGAGAATAAAAACTTCTGCATTACAAGTTTAAGCAGCAAGGTTTTCCGAAATCGAGGTACCGCTGTGCCTGCAGATCTCCCTTTGACTCTATAATCCATATGCTGAGAAGCAATGCTGCTTAGAGCTGCAGCTACAAGCTGCAGTGGCAGCAAATAAAAGCCAAAGATACACATGAACAGGAGGCTTTGAAGGCAACACAGAAGTGAGCAATACAGAAGTGTACTAGCACATGTTTTTAAATTAAAGCAATGCGCTAGGCTAACACCATCCACTGCAGTCTGAAATACATGTCAAAGGGTCACCATTGCAGAGCAAATGAATCCTCGACAGGATTTTATAGCGAAGTTGCTCTTACATGCACATGGTTTAGCTACACAGAGAAGCCAAGTATGCCAATTATGGATACATAAAGCATGGCAAATCATGCCAGCTGTACCTAAGAAGCTGAGCGTGCTCTGCTGTAGAGGATACTGCACATAACAGAATGTCAGGGAATGAGCGGAAGTTAAAGGAACAGAGACTTACAGACTGGTAGAGCTCTTTAGATGTCTGGCTGGCATCAATTTTTCCTACAAAGGAAGCTGTTGGAATTGTAGTGTTTAATTCGTGGACGATTCTGTCATCGATCGTCCTCATCACCCTGAGCAACTCCTGTATTAAAAAAAAAAGTCCTTGCTTATATCTGTCAGAATAGGCTACTGAAAAAAAGGGCATGATTAAGTTTCTTAATAGAAAGCAGAAAATAAAATAAAGACTAAAGGTAGATCTCTTGAAAACAGCAAAAAAAAAAAAACAGGTCAACCATGGTCTCCACATGCAGGGAGTATTTGCTGCCATTCAATTAGTTGTTTTAGTAGCAAAAGCCAGACAGAGAGAGAGCAAACAAATTTGAAGAGCCTTCTTGAGACCTTCCCCCACCACCCTCAGCGCTGGACCACAGTCTCATTCATTTCCACAGAAACACAACCAAGCAACTTCTCGAAAGGCAGCCTGGGCAGAATTTTCCAAACACAAAGTTTGCCCGTCCACACTAATGCTTACAGATAGGATGGAAGGCAACAGGAGTTCATAACAAAATAGCAAATTCACAAGAGAAACAATACGCTTGTAAATGCTTTATTCGCCTCCCCCCAAAAAAGAGCAACTACAGCCTCAGTCTACCGAGATGCCACTCATGCCCCTGAAGGCCCGTGTTCTTAAGCAACATAAAAAATATCTGTAAGCGCTGCGAGCGGAAGGTCCCGCAGCTCATCTGTCCCATTCACCCAAAGCCCCTTCTGAGCAGCGGGGCCGTGCGCTCGGGGATGGCCCTTACTGAGAGCCTGCAGCTGGGGGAAAACAGGCAAACGCATAAAAACCAAGAGCGCGTTTAACCCTGGGAAGAACACGTGGTCTTTGGCGATGCTGCACCATGGGTGCGCGCAAGGAAGGGGGCGCCCCGCGGGCTTCACGATGAAGAGGGAGACGACGGAAAAAAAATGGCGTTAGGGGGACGCGCGGGCCCCGCCCCTCCCCGCGCGCCCCCGCCGCCACCTCCCGCCC